CCCCCCCCAAACACCCGCCATATTGGTGGCGGCCATATTGCTCCCCCCGGCCGCCATATTGTTCACCCCAAGAACCGCCACATTGCCAACAACCGCCATATTGGCAGCGGCCATATTTCCCCCACCGGCGGCCATATTGTTTCCCCCAACAACCGCCATATTGCCGGCGGCCATATTGCTGGCGGCCATATTGCTCCCACTGGCGGCCATATTGCTCACCCCAACAACCGTCATATTACCGGCGGCCATATTGTTTCCCCCAACAGCCGCCATATTGCCGGCGGCCATATTTCTCCCACCGGCAGCCATATTGCTCCCACCGGCGGCCATATTGCTCCCACCGGCAGCCATATTGCTCACCCCAAGAGCCGCCATATTGCCGGCGGCCATATTTCTCCCACCGGCGGCCATATTGCTCCCACCGGCGGCCATATTTCTCCCACCGGCGGCCATATTTCTCCCACCGGCAGCCATATTGCTCCCGCCGGCGGCCATGTTGCCGCTTTTCCCATCCGCCCCACCCCCAGCCACGCCCCCTCCCGCCTCCTCCTCCTCCTCCTCCTCCTTCCCGTGCGTCCTCTCGTGCTTCCTCAGCCCCGAGACGCCCCCGAAGCCTTTCCCGCACCTCCCGCAGGCGAAGGGCCTCTCCCCGGAGTGCGTCCTCCGGTGCTTCCCCAGCGCCGCCCTCTCCCCGAACCCCTTCCCGCAGTCGCCGCAGCGCCACGGCCGCTCCCCGGAGTGCGTCAGCCGGTGCCTCTTGAGGTCCCAGGAGGCCACGAACGCCTTCCCGCAGTCGCCGCAGCGCCACGGCCGCTCCCCGGTGTGCGTCCGCCGGTGCACCGCCAGATCCGCCGGCTGCCGGAACGCCTTCCCGCACTCCCCGCAGCCGTAGGGCTTCAGCCCTTGGTGCGCCCGCTGGTGCCGCCGGAAGCTGGAGGGGTCGGCGAAGGTGCGGCCGCACTGCGGGCACAGGAAGGGCCGCTCGCCGGTGTGGACGCGCTGGTGGCTCTGGAAGGAGGAGAGCTGCGTGAAGGCCTTGCCGCAGACGCGGCAGGGGAAGGGCTTGGCGGCGGCGTGGATGCGCTGGTGGCAGGCCAGCGAGGAGGAGCGGCCGAAGCTCTTGCCGCACTCGGCGCACAGGTACGGCCGCTCGCCGGTGTGGGCGCGCAGGTGGTTGCGCAGGTCCTTGCGCTCGGCGTAGGCCTTGGGGCAGGCGCCGCAGCGGTGGGGGCGGAGCCCGGCGTGGGCGCGGAGATGTTTCCGGAAGGCCGAGGGGTCGGCGAAGGTTTTGGGGCACTGGGGGCAGGAGAAGGGGCGCTCGCCGGTGTGGGAGCGGCGGTGGACGGCGAGCTTGGCGGCCGAGGGGAAGCGGCGCGGGCAGGAGGGGCAGGGGAAGGGCGGGGAGGAGGGGGAGGGGCGCGGGGGGGAGGGGCCGGGGGCGGTGACGTCGACGGACGGGGCGGTGACGTCGTCGGGGGGG